AACTGAACTTCCAGCCATAACAATTCTCATCAGATTCAAGAACTTTACAAATTTTTTTTTCAATAAAAAAAGTCGAGTTTTTTTCCAAAACTAAATGAACCAACCGATAGTGCTTCCACTGTTACTAAAAGACGATATGATAACAAATCCAAAACTATCGCCACTAGCTCGATTCAGAACAACATCATAGGCTGTGCCAGCATCATTCCATTGATTTACCGGGGCGGACGTGGATCGAGAAAGATCTTCAATAAACCGACAACAGATATGTAAAATTTCAGCAAAAAATTCCCAGAAAAGGAATGAAACAACTAGTGCATGCGACAGTAACGTTTAGCATATTTCTTTTAGCTTGTATTTGCATACATGTTAATTAAGCAAGTAAAACTGAGGGCAAAGGGAGGTGAAGGGGGCAATACATTGGCTCTTAAGGATGTTGAAATGTTGAAATGCCAAGAAATGTTGAAATCAGCTAGAGCTTAAAAACTATGTGTGGGTATGACGGGGATGGAAGGGGATGGGAAAAGCAAGGGCAGGTCAGGGAGGTAGTGGCATAAAATAAGGATTATGGCACTAAATTTCAGTACAAATACAAGAGGCGCAAAACTAAATGGAAGCAGAACAAGTGGCAATACGAAATTTGAAAGGCAGAAAAAAGGTAAAAGAAAGAATGCATTCTTTCCAGATGCACTCTTCACCACACTTCATTTCTCTATCAAAATATTCGTACTGTTACCAGCAGAGATTTTGTGGCGTCGCACAACCAATTTCACATGTCCACTAGCGGCCGATTTCTGCATTAACTGTACGGCCATCGAATGGCTTTCACCTTCAACGTTGGTACCATCGATCTCAATGATCTCATCACCCTGCTGCAATCTGCCATCAACAGCGGCCGCACCACCAGGAACCACCTGTCCAACTATTATCGATGTCCCCTCCTTGAAATACATGTGCCGTTACAATACTTCCTGACACAGTTCTGTTTTGCATATGCAAAAAAGGACTGGG